ATAAGTATAACAATTCATCTCATCACCACATCAACATTATCACAACAATTGCAATAACACAAACGATATCACATCACCTGTATAATTGTCTGTACAACATTAACAGGATAGTTTCACATCGAAACTATACATCACAACCCACATTTCATTAAAACACATCAATCAAATAGCTTGTAAATATAATAGCAATTTACCACATGAATTTATCAACAATGGAAAATTAACGTTTCGCAAACGGTTCCTCACATCACCATGAAAATCACAACATCAATACACACATAATTCTAATTTAATCATCCTAACTCTCACCACCACCGTGTAGTTCAGCGTGTTAGCTTCCCAATGCTTCGAACAACATCTAAATCAGACTTACGAAATGAAAGTTATAAGCAAAATCATTGGGATATCTCAACTAATTCGAAAACAGATTTTTCTCAAAATTATATTATGCAATCGGTTGTAGTCAGGGTGCAATCGATTGTCACTGAAAGATTTTCCATAAATTTACATTGTGCAATCGATTGCAGTCAGGGTCAATCAATTGCACTGAAGGATTTTCTAAAAATTGCACTAGTGCAATCGATCGCAATATGGTGCAATCGATTGCAGCTGGAGGATTTTCTAAGAAACTCGAGAACATACCAATATAACAATAACACGCTATTGTAATTCAATTCAAACATGTGAAAATAGAATTACCAGCATACAATTCATCACCAATCAATCAATATTCAACGTCATCCATCAAAGTTCATCAAAACATCAATTTAAGAGCAAACCCTATTAGAGGTTAAGGAAACCTCTCTATCCTTTCATGATTTAGCACTCATAGATGAGTTGTCCCACTACTTGATTATTCTAACAAAGATGAAAAAAATCCCTTAACTTTTTCTCTTAAGCCTTTCTTCTCCCTCCTCTTGCCCTAGCCTTTATTTTCTCTCCTCCAAGTTTTTCACGTAATATTGCAAAATTGATTCTTCTCTCCTATTTCTAATCACCATATTCCTCATAATTATGTTTTCTCTATACTACCCTCAACTTAATCTTGTAATTACCACCTTACCCTCAAAATATCTACACATTCCCCTTTTCCTCATTATTTTATTATTTCAATATTATTTACTCAATTAATTAAATAAACTCCTATTATTTAATTACCAAGATAATCATAAATAACTCTAACTTATTCCAACTAACCTTTGTACCCCACATATTATAATCAAATAAAATACATCAATTCATAATTAATTCATGGATAAATAGATTAAATGACTAAATCAAAAATGGCGTGCTACATAGTTGGCCTCTTCAGTAGTTTTATTTCTAGGTTATGTTCGTCATATCTTTTGTCAGCTTTGTATTATTCATTCTAGTTTCGCTTTGATATTTCATTTTTCTATAGGTAGTCTTTTAAGGTGTTTTGAACTAATCGTTTATGTTATGTATTTGAATTAAAATTCTACCTTTTGGGAATTAAAGTTGAAGTTGTCAATGTGACACCCTTGTTTTTATCTTCATATTTCCGCAATGTTTTATACATTATATTTGGAGTTTAGGGTGTTACAACGACAGTTGAAAGGATTCGACCAACTATGGAAAGAAATTACAATATCAATGATTATATTTCCACTCATGGATACACGCCAACTGGAATATACTCATGTACTCGATGAATTGCGTCATACTTTAGCTGGTTACGTCACTACACGTATGAAAAATGGGTATGGAACCTTATTAAATGTGATTATTCTCCATTACTTGTTGAAAAATCGATCTCAAACGTTTTTAGTTCCACTTCATATCGCATCACATCATAGAGGTCGGCCAATGATGCTTAAGGCTTCTCCCAGCTCCATTAATGTCTGACAAATCTTTGGGGGAAAACTGCTCTAGACCGGCCAAAGTCCGAATGGACCAATGCCCAATCAATCTCAAATCCACTCCACATGACTCAAGGCGTAAAATCAATTCAAGCACGAGAGCAAGGTACAATCTCGGATCTTCACTATCATTACACTCATTTTGAATCTTAAATTGACTTGAATATTAAAGTGTTAACCATGCAGGTCCACCTCTCGCTACCGCAAAAGAGATCAAAGCCACCGTTCAAGTTCATCCATTTTTCAACTGTATCTATTTCTAGTTTCTGAAGAGAACAACGTCTAAATGCATATGGGCGAAAATATGTTGTTGATTAGAAAAAAAAAACATTATTTTTCACACAAACACATACTTCTATTGTTGCAAGAACAAGATCTTGAGAATGTGACTCAGATCGCACAAATATATAGACAAAAAAATATGTAATAAAAAGATGTCAAAAGTCCTAAAACCAAGATTTATTGTTTAAACTAATAGAAGATACAAATTATATTTATTGAAATAAAAAATGAGATAACTTAAATGTAGTGAAAGATATTTTTTTTTGAGTCCAATCAAATTTAGTTAGATTGAATATTTTTCTTGTTGTGTTGATTATAGGTAACACATACAAGACAAACAAAAACAAATAATTTCTATTTGTAGTTGTTAGTATAAAATCAACTGAGTTGACATTTTCTATTACTAAGAGAATTGTTTATTAAAATTTTGGATTCGACTACTTTAAAATCCGTAGCTAAATTAATTTATAAAACATGTAGCTAAATTAATTTATAAAATTAATAATTGATATTGCAAGTTTTGATATGCATATACAAGTAATATTCATTTTGTCCTCATTACACAAGTAATTTTTGTATGAGCTATTAAAAGACATAGATCCAATGTTTTCATGCCATTCGCATCTGTGCAATGCCAAAATGACATTATCACAAACATTTGTCCAAATTATGAAATCAACTATTCCGTTCACGTTTATTATTACAAGACCCATTTATAAAATAAATATTGTCATATTTATAATCGCAATACATGTCATATTTATAATCACAGTACATGTCATATTTCTAAACAATAATTAAATTCATCCCTTCAAATATAACACAGTACAGGTGTTGGATACTTTAATAAAAACTAATTAAATGCCACAATTTAGCCGTATTAAAATGAGATAGCAAGGTGAAATTCCAACATGCTTTAAAAGAAATTCATATCATATTTCTAAACAATAATTAAATTCATCCCTTCAAATATAACACAATAAAGGTGTTGGAGACTTCAATAAAAACTAATTAAATACCGCAATTTAGCCTAATTTAAATTCAGATAGTTAGTTGAGATTTCCAACCTGCTTTAAAAGAAAAACCTGGCTCACACAAGTACCTTATCCATTATCAGATACTAGTGAAAAAATAAAGTAAATAAATGTTGAATTGATTGTAAATGTCATAAATACTTTGGTCCTGTTTTGAATCTATGTCCTAGTATTTCTCTAGTCTCTAGCTTGGCTATTGATGTGGACATTCAACAATATTAGGAAGGGGTCGAATCAATTTACATCGGAGATGACATATAGTTATAACAAAACGTACTAATACAATAATGATGACACTATTATTTATCAATGAATTCGAATGCTATGCTATAGACAATTATACAATCTAAATAGAACTAGGAGAGGACAACGAATTTTTGGTTGTCAACTAATGTATTGGAAACATTATCATAAAACAATATTGCTTAAAGAGTATCACAACATGAGTAAGTCTAACCATCTATATATTTATATATAATCAACAAGTTTTGAACATTAATAAAAATTTATGAATTTTGAAATAATTTCAAGTTCTTAAACATACTCTTTCTAACATGTTATTTCCTTTCACTGTTTCCTAAACATGAGAGAATTCATGTTCAAGATTGATACTTTGAAAGCGTTAAAACTCTTCTTAGTAGGAGAAGTGGGAAACTTTACTCATTTGTCTTTTACAATGAGAATGGGAGTAAAAAAAGTTAGAGGAATAGCAAATAAAAAGAAAATGAGTTGGTGTGCTGGTATATTGAGTGAAAAGGAAGAGACAATAGAAAAGGGAAACTAAAAAGAGCATACTAGTTTTCTAGCTGTTCTTTCATCATGGACACCTAAACATAAAAATAGGAGAACCAGAGAAGGGTAAAAATGAAAGTTGCTTTGTTTTTTCCTTTACACTTTCGGCTCAGACACATTTTATTCATTTATGAGTAATGCTATCTTGTATTCTTGGAGACACATGTTAAAAAACTCACAAATAAAAAATATGTATAGAAAAAAACAATAAAATCATTAATTATAAGACTGTGTTAAATTTATTACACAATTTTTAAGAACTATTTCTTATATTTATCTCTTAACTTCTGTTCATCATTACCTTTTATTTATTACTACCTCCGGTGTTATTGATAAGAGAAAATTTGTTTTTTTAATTCATTAAATAATCAATATATTTAAACTTTATAATATACCATATACATTCATTATTCAATTAATCTAAAATGTCATCCAGAGGTAGTACTATTAATGACTCAAACAAATTCTCTTCCGCCACAAAATCATCACTATCCAAGCAATTCCTTCTACCTATTTTCCCTTGACATGTTCATAGTTGTTATTTTTAGAGATATCTTGATTACCAGCAGCTATTTTAAGAGGTACTGCCATAATATAGTATTTCTTTTGAGACAAACTAGTAAATTTCGAGACTCGTGATATGGAGCCATAGCTGTTTAGGCGTCATTGAATATGGTAAGGAGACAATAGCACATGGCTTGTGCTGAATCTCTCAAATTGGGAGTATGGTCCACAACTCTACCTAGCATTTTGCATTTATAAAAATCGAAAAAACCATATTGTGGGCAGCCTCCAGAAATTTATACTTGAGAGGAGACATTTTTAATTGATTCCAAGGGCATAATTTTTCTTCATAAATCTTTACTCATACTGCCTACGAATATACAAAAATTATACCCTCATGTACAGGGACGGTACAAAGACATTAACCTGATCTGCTTTTAAAAGACAACCAAAGATGACTAATGACCTGCTTTGGATTCAAGTTAATAGATCATACTAAGTCTAGATCTTAGTCTCTTTCTGGAGCCTCACCAGAAACTCTTCTTACACTGAGGTTTCCGGTGTATGACCAAACCTTTTCATAATCAGTTGAGGCCAACTTTTCAGTCTTGGAATCTTTTCCCTTGGCATTTCTCTTAACAGTGTGTGTCCTATATGGACTGCAAGGGCTTCCGCTAGCAGGAGAGGAGGAACAGAATGTTGGGGTGGCAAAGGGAGATGCGAATGGGGTGTGTTGGATTGAGAAAGGGCTGGGAGTCATTCGCTTCTGGATAGGCATACCACCAAAACCTCCCCTGCCGAACAAGATAGAATCTGCAGCTGCGCATCGTTTGATAGTATCGTCTACATATAGGACATCATCGATTCTCGCCATTATGTTAAAGGCCAAGCTCTCTGTCACCCTGGAATAACTTTCAAGAATGGACTGTCCTACATCCTGCAAGGAAAACAATGTTCAAGAGAAGTTAATTCATTGATTCTAAGTTCCCTTCACCTAGAGGCTAACATCAGTAACCATAAATCACTTATCCGGCCAAAGTGGTAACATCTAGACTAAAAGCCGTATACAAAAACTTATCACATAGATAATGCAATGATCAATCATCAATAAGGATCATAAAACTGAGAAAATGCTACTATGTATTATGTTAGGAAATCATAGTGCACTTAACCACAGCAAATACTCACAAAATACTGGCACAAGGGAATCTAGGAGTTCTTTGTACCACTGTCAGGATTTTAATTTTTGTTAATAAGTTTGAATGCTAATTGGAGCTACACCTACCTAAGATATTGAATATAGCCTCAATACAAACTAGCAACTAAAAGTTAAGTGTATGCTGTAGATTAACAAATTATTAGTCCAATCCATACTAAAGATGTACCTTATTGTATTGTATCTTGGCCATATCAAGTGCTGTTTGAGGGAGCCCAGGAAACCGGTGTTTCAAGCTTTGCAGTAGTGTCTCTGCCCGTTGGACAAGAAAATGGTTCTTCTCACCGTCGGCAACAAGGCTCTTTACCTTCCCACTCCAAGACCGTCGGGCTTTCACCGAATTTTTAAGTCTCTGTACGTCTTTTAACCTCCATACATGTATAGCAGCCTCAATTCTATTAGCTATATCCTGTGTGTGATGCTCAGATGATAGATCAAGGCAATCAAGAAGACATTCAGGTGAGAACTGGCCAGCAGTTATGTATCGATAAACTATATCCCCTAGACAAGCTTTTCCATTCTGCATTTGTAAAACAACAAAGGCATATTTAGTTTTCATCAAATTTTAGAAGAAAAAAAAAACAAAACAATTTATCCAATACTAAACTGTTATTGCATTCCAGTTCAGCTCAGACTTTGAACCATAGATTAAACTGATTTTATCACTTTACTCCACATATTTCACAAAAATAAAATGTACATGCAACTCAAAGATGCATAAAATAACTGATGACTGTGTAGTATGCACAATTTCTAGCATAATATATTCATACTCAGCAAAACATAAACTGTAAACAAATTTAATCTCCTATACGCAAGAGAAAGCATTATTACCCTTGGCAAAGATTCTACATAAGCAGCAGGAATTTCCATTTCAGCAAGAACAGAACTATTAATCGCCATGGCAGCCTTAAGTATCTGGTTAGTGCAATCCCTACACTGTTGCAACCGTTTCCTATCATCCTCACACAACCCATTTGGCGGAAGCTTAGGAGAAGGAAGCCACCATTTCTCTTCTTGCCTAACAGAAGGTCTACCATACTCATCACAATCCTTAGAATCAGCCAACACAATTCCTCTTTCAACATACCAAAACTGTGTATCACAAAACCCATCCAGCATACTTAACAACATCCCATCAAGCTTCTTCAAAGCAGGAAGATTGATGTACAAATCAGACCTAGGCCGCGTCGCCATCACTTCATAAGTTCCACCACCTGGAAACTGCTGCACAGAAGGCACCAGCTCAACAATCGAATCACTCACACATAGAAGCCATTCCATTTCCCTACGCCACATCGCTTTTTTCTGTGGTGCTAATGGCTCCAACCTCCATAACTCTCCAAACACAGTCGCTGCAATTACAAATTACAATTTCAATCCAAAGTCACACTCACACACACAAATTACAACTTACAACACATCATTCATAGATTCATTACTTTATTAACAAGCAAACAAAGCTCACCAGAGAGATTCGTGATTGCATTAGAGATCGCAAGTGCAGTACAAACCCCCTTTCCACCACCAGACATGTCTTCTCCTAAAAGAAGCTTAGCGAATCTTTCCTTCATCATTTCAACTTCTGAAAAAAAATCATTCACACTTCACACACACTTGCAGTTCCAATCTCACGCATTTCTCGTGAATTGAAAAGATAAAAACAAGTAATAATTAAACGGAAAGATTACCGGACAAATCCAGGTCACGCTTATGATCCCAAACGACGACGTCTTTACCACCGATGACCGGAAGCATGACTTGCGCCGCCGTCGGTAAGTTGAAATGCGCGGCGAGTTGACGCGGCGAGAGGTTCGCTGAGCTTGAAGCTCCCTCGGCATCAAAACGTCGACCGTAAAAGCTACTAGAACTTTCCGATTCGCTGATGTCAGCACTCGGACTATAACTTCCACATCTCTCAGAAACGTCTTCAGACGAAACACTTCCCATTTTCTCCAAATCGAAAATTTCACACAGATCTTAATTTAGCAACACACATTATCAATTAATCTCCAATTCAGTATAATCGGTAACTAACAGCAAAGAAAGGGTAAGTAAAGTAAGTGGAGAAGAGAAAGCACAGTGTAATGTAACGTTCTTTTTCACTTGCCCATTCTTTTTATCTGTTATTATTTGTTACTCTCTTCTGTATTGTTGTTGATGTTGGTGGTGTGGACCTGTGTTTTGTGTTGTGTATAGTGGTGGTGATGATTTGATGGAGGCAAAAGTAAAAAACAGACGCCGTTTGTGGGATTGTCTTTCCGTAACCGAAGGTTAAGCATCGGACACGCTATTTTTCAGTGGGGTCCACTGTTTGTGAAGTGATATGGGATCAGGCTTGATGACGTGGAGTGGGATTGTTGGATGGTTGTGGGCCAGAATCGAGGGAGAAACCGTTGATTTGATATCAAGATGGAGGGAAGTGAAACTGGAGAAGAAACGGAACCTAACGGCGGTTAACTGTTCATTGGTATCCGTGTAAAGGAATGTTAGGAGTGTCCATCGTCATTAAAAAAATTTGTAGTACATTATTTTGTCCTATAACTACGACCTTTTTCGCAAACTATTTTTTTTTTTTTAAATTAACAAATTAGTCATTTTAATCAATAAATTTTCATGTTAATAAGTTTTAAAATATTTTTTTAAATGTTCTGTTAAGTTAGTTTAGGAATATTAAATATTAGAAATATCAGATATTGAGTTGTGGATTTCAGTCACTATATTGCATGAAAAAAAAATTCAATTAAAAACAGACATATATGTTATTTACACAATGATAATGTGTTTAAATATGTATAAAATAAATATTCATGTTAATAAGTTTTGAAATATATTTTTTAAATTAAAAACTAACATATATGCTATATAGACTATAATAATGTGTTTAAATATGTATAAACATTAAAATTTAAGTCTGATTTATTTGTCCTAGAACTATTTCATTGAAATTTTACTCATATTATCAATCAAATATTCAAACAAATCACTCTTTCAATTAAAATTTCAATATACCAACACTAATGTGTTAAAATAGTTAACTGTATGTTCTTAATTTTAATTTTAGTAGGGTGCGCCACTTAAAATTGTGTCACTATACTTTTTTAGCGAGCGCTAATTACTTTTAACACATTTATTTAATTGATTAACGAATTCGTACAAGATGTTTTTAAAGAGGATAAATTGACTTGAATATTAGGAGATAATGTTATTTTTTCAATTTCCTCCTGCTACAAGTTATTGTTGTAGGTTGTGACTTTTTTTTAACTCGATACTGTCACATCGGCAAAATTAAAGAGTGTGTGAAGTTCAAAACTTCCATCCAAAATTCTGATATTTTTGTGGAGGTTATTTTGATATAAACTTGTAACTAGAGATTAATTAGTTAAGAGATATATTAATTAGGGGTCGGAGTTTGTCTTGTGTTGTGGGGTTTTCGCTTAAACTTCTCTCCATCTATTCATGGAGTGCTCCTTTGTGTTTAAGGTTTGAAATGGTGTGGAGATTTGGATAGGGATAAGAGCTGATTCGAGACACATAATTGTTATTTCATTCGTTGATTTTGGTAGAAGAGTGCGTAATCGGACTGGTAAAAATATAAGTTACGTTATATGGACTTTTTCATGTTGGTGTATATGGAAGAGTAGAAATAATTATGATTTTAGAGAAGAACTTCTTTGTGTTTTAGAAGTAGTTAATAGTATTAAGTTTTTAATTTGGAGGAGGTTGTGCTCTTTAACTTTCATAGCTCATTATTATCCTTATTATAAGTAATTCGTTATTATGAGTAATTCGTGTCTGCATTCAACTGTATCGTCTGAAATTAATTTTTCGTTGTTTTTTAATAGATTAGAGTGTCCCTCGTATTTTAATTTCATTGACTTTAAAAAAAACTTTGACACGTTTTTTTTAATTGATATTTAATTGAAAAGTGTTTACGGTTGAGGGTGTTTGTTACATTGAAAAAAATTTACTATTCAAACATTTATCTAAAATGATTTTTCTTCGAATAGAATATGTAGTTTAAATTAAACTTGAAGTTAGTACTTATAGAAAAACTAAAGTTTGTTGGACAAAAATTTCAATTAGACTCCTTATATACAAATGTTGATACATAAGTTTGAATGCTAGTTAATGGGACTGTGATTTGGTGTAATAACAAGTATCTATGACTGTATGATCAAAATCGACGGTCATGATATTAACTTATCATTTTTCAAATTATAATATGAAATTTTATTTTATTTTTTATACACCGTGTGATTAAACCTAGATGGTTACTAATGTAGTGATTGTGTGAATGCCTAAAAAAATAAAAATAAAAATTGACTGCAGGGATACATTTGTGTGCTTTAAGGATGTTTTCATCTCCATAGTAATATGTTTTCATAGTGACTCGTTTGTTTGATAGATTGACTTGTCATAGTGTGGAACAATACTCATAGTGAATTAAGCTTAATATACCATATTGTGTAATACTAGTAATAATGAAATTTCCCAAGTCCTTAGCTAGTGTTTGTTGATCTTATTAGTAGTCACACTCACACACAACAAAATAGTACTGTTAAGAATGTGGGAGTGGGGACTTCATTCCCAAACAGGCTTAATGAGAACATGGATCGGATCATGGACGGATCGATTAATCAAAAAAAGGAAAAAAAAAACTTGGCATGGCGCAGACAAATCTGACATTGTGTGAAGCACAAGTATTCCACTTCCTTCACGTTTGCCAACGAGTGGATTACAAGGATGAGGTTGCATTGCATTGCATTGCAAATTGCAATGTTGCATAGACAACAACTATTGTCCTTTATTTTATCTTTTTTCATTGTTTACCTTTTCTTTACTACTGCTACTATATGGTACACTTATGACTGAACCAACGTGTTTGGTACCAAACAAGACCCTTGGCCACGTGTCGCATCATTCGAACAAGATTTTTTTGCGTCATCAATTTTTTTTTTCATTTGCTTTCTTCACGCACTCTATCACGGATGCACTTTAATACTACTATTAGTACTAGTATTATTTATATCCCAATTATTGTATTGTTAATTTATTGTTATTAACGAATGTGTGTGTATCTCGGATTTTAGGCATGAGTACGCTTGTAACGTACTCCAAAGATAGTAGTGTGATTATGACATTGAATGGATTTTAAAATGTGATTAACCAGAAGCAGTGTTTATAATTTAATGATTTTAATGACGAATTGTTTGTATTGAAACTGTTGATAAGGGAAAGGTAGCTTGTGATTTATAATGATAAAATAAAACACGCCGTATAGTCTTAAGTGAACATGATGACATGCGTTGATTGGCAACTGTTATTATTATTACTTAGTTCAAGCATGCTTAAGCTCGTTTCAGCTAATTTATGTCCTGCGGTCACGAAGAAGGGAAAAATAACATTCTCTCTCCTACTAAAATAACTAATTTAGTTTGTTAATTCAACAATTTTAAAAAAAAAAAGGGTAATGTTAACTTGTTCTTCAAAAACACAAGTTAAGAAACCCACTTATAATAAATTTATATTGAAAAAAATAATTTAAAAAATAATTTTATATTTTAATTAAAATTTATACACAATTTTCAAAATAATATTTTTTAATTTAGTTCTTAACTTGTGCCCTTGAGGCACAAGTTAACATTACCCTAAAAGAAAACGTATATAATTGCAAAAGAGAAGAAAACATTTACTGGTCTATCTTTTCTTGTATATGTTAATTAATGCATATTCAGAGAGGATTTCTTAAAAATATTCTATGAGTTTCTTTTTCAGTGTGTGGTATTTAATAAATTGTTTTCCTTAAAGACATTATATGAGTTTCTTTTTCATTGTGTGGTATTTAATAAATGGTTTTCTTAAAGATATTGTATGAGTTTCTTTTTCAGTGTGAGGTATTTAATAAATGATTTTAGATAGAGGATTTCTTAAAGACATTCTTTGAGTTTCTTTTTTAGTGTGTGGTATTTAATAAATAGTTTTAGATAGAGGATTTCTTAAAGACATTCTATGAGTTTCTTTTTCAGTGTGTGTTTCTTTTTCAGTGTGTGGTATTTAATAAATGGTTTTAGATTTTGGAGATATATTTTTAGACGTGTCACATGACTTAATAATATTTAAGAAATATATTTTTAGAACAATTTAAACTTTAAATGGTCGCAACATATATTTCATAATTCATTTTCATTTAAATTTGTCCAGAGATTCATTTACGGAAATTTTTCAGAGATACATATCCGAAGTGTTTCAAAACATTTTTTTTTAAATGCATTGTGTATTTGTTCGCAGATGAATTATAAAAAACAGACACACCAAACTAACATAACAATATAGTAATATGATGTCATGCGCCACGTAAATCCAAAATGTCGTAACAATGTAAAAAAACGTAAAAACTGTAGTACTGAAACAAAATAAATACAAATAACTACTGGATGTGGCTCTCCTCTGCCCTTTGTACCTCATAGAAGATACCCTCGTCAATGCATGCCTGCGCCATCTTCATTATGTGACGGTAACGAGGCAAGACATCCTCAGTATGACCCATTTGAGTCTACTGTCGCACCTCGAATAATACGACATTTACGATGGGACGCAGAAAAATGTTGTTCGAACAGAGTCAACTTTATTCATTCCAATGAAGGAATAGGAAAATATCAAGAAAACCTTTGAGAGATAAGAACATGGTCATAACAATCAATTTCTAGGTTCGAGAATCGATTACGTAAAGGGAATGTATTAGCACTCATCACGTCCGTTGTACTCAACAGGAACCTCTTAGTTCAATTTGTGATTAATGTTAGCTAATGTTATTTGTTTTCTTCTAAGCGAGTAGTGCAAAAAGTAAGAGAAAAGGGTTTTGCTTGCTAAAGGAAAATGGGTGGTTTTTTATTAGGGTGCTCGCCAAGGATTGGGGCCCTTGTGCCTACGTATTCTCATTGCGAAAT